TGTGAAAGTGAGCTCACAAATAAATCAGGATAGTGGTGTTAAGCAGGCCTAAGAGTTAAACCTGAATTCACAAATCATGAAGAATGAGATATGTCTACGACATCGCACTGCTGACTAGAGCCAAATAAATCGGAATTTTTAAACCGCAAATTATCTTTAGGAAACTGCGGTCATTTAAATCCTGCCCACTTGGATCTGGGTCGACCTCCGCTTAAACTTGGACACAACAATCCAGGAAGTGTCAGTCATGGACCTGTTGCACCTTTACGAGTGGGTCGACATCAAAAGTATTTTGATATTTTCGTGTGTGTTTTTATTGCTGAGTGATTATATCAGAAATAAAACGCCGAAGAACTTTCCTCCTGGACCTTGGTCTTTGCCGTTTATAGGGGACCTTCATCATATCGATGATAGTAAGATTCATCTTCAGTTTGCAAAGGTAAATAGAATTCCAGTTAAATCTAACTAAACGTATTCCTGTGTGAAATTCTGCATAGCCTATGCAAGGCAGAAGTGACTGCAGCAAACGTCTCGTTAAAAATCACGGACGAAAATTATAGTCCCGACTCCTGGGGTGCGTTTCCCGAAAGCATTGTTAGCCAACTGGTCGCAAGTTCCGTCGTTATCAGCATAGTTCAACGAGTCGGTGTTTCCCGTTACGAACATTCGCAAACAGCATCGCAAAGTTGTGTGGTTTGAACGACATTCGACCTGTGGTTATATGCATTGTTTCTATAGCCTACACTCTAAAAAATGCTGGGTTGTTTTAACCCAATTTTGGGTCAAATATGGACAAACCCGAAATGTTGGGTTAAAAATGTAATGTAAAAATTTAACCCAACGGCTGGGTTAGTCCATATTTGACCCAAAGTTGGGTTAAAACAACCCAGCATTTTTTAGAGTGTATTACATGACATTTGGAGGTAATAAATCCTTTCAGGAAACGCACCCCTGGTTGACACTTTGTGACGCATCAAGGCAAATAAACATTTTTAATTCAATACTGAATGATGCAAAATTAAAAATAGGTTTCCGCTTTATATGAGCTAGCTTAATTGATTAAAAATGTTACTAGTAACTAAAAATAAGCACTAGTTCTATTTTTTTCTTAACAAGTTGGGTTTAATTAAATACTTGACTCCATTGGAATAAGTAGCTATCTAATAAATAAGGACTATCTACGTAGGCCACGTAGGCCTATACCGCAACGTAAAAAAAAAATCTATCATTTCGAGATTAAAGTGGAAATGTTTCGAGATTAAAGTGGAAATGTTTCGAGATTAAAGTCGAAATGTTTCGAGATTAAAGTGGAAATGTTTCGAGATCAATGTCTAAATATTTCGAGATCAAAGTCTAAATATTTCGAGATCAAAGTCGAGATATTTAGAGATTACGAGGAGGCATATTGAGATATCACTGCTATGAGCAACACTTCATCCCTGTCCAAACTCAGCCATCTTGAATGAGGCGATAGACCCTCTGAACGTTGCACCCTTTGTAATGCGTTCTTAGTGGAATATCCAATTCCCAAACATGTAAAAGTTATAACAGTATGAATGCATGAGTCATGAAAAGTGTACAAAAGTTAATTTCTAAAATAGTAGAATCCTTCAGCATACTCATAATTATTTCAGGAGCTTTATTTCTGACAACATTTTTTTTCAGCTAGTCAAGCTGGGTGGGAATATACAGTCTGGCTAAAACTAGTTAAATCAGCTAGCCATTAATAAATCTTAAAGGGATACTCCACCCAAAAATCATAATTTACTCACCCTCAAGTTGTTGCAAACCTGTAGGCCTATGAGTTTCTTTCTTCTGCTGAACACAAATGGAGATATTTTGAAGAACGACTGGAACCAATGGAAATCAATGGTGCCAAACAACTGTTCGGTTCCGATTGTTCTTTTCAATGTTGGCTAAAATTTCTATTACAGTTTGTCATTTTTTTTCAATTAATGTTATTTTATGACAAAAATGACATCATTTAAGCACCCAGACGAAGGCATAAAGCTGCAACGTGTAGGTGTATCTGATGTATCTGTCACCAATTTTAATTGTTTTGGCCATGATTAAATAAAGGCCTTTTTACTTATTTTCCCACACCACTTGAGTGCCTTGGAGTATCTTAATTTGTCGTATGACGTCATTGTAGTCTGTGTAAACATGCTAAAATTAAAGTATTACAAACCATTGAAACCTACTATTATTTGTATGATATTGATTTATAACTCATATTTTACAGTTTGCAGAAAAATATGGCAAGATTTTCAGCCTTAAAATTCTTGGAACAAGAATGGTTTTCTTGGATGGATATAAACTAGTGAAGGAGGTCTATACACAACAGGGTGATAACCTCTCTGATCGACCCTCGCTACCTTTATTTTATGACCTCATTGGAGACAGAGGTCAGTTTAATATCAGAATGTTAAATTTGTGGGTTAACATTTCCCCATAAATTGTCAGTAATCTATTAACTGGGTTTGTTTCGTGCACAGGTTTAGTTGTTGCCAATGGCTATAAATGGAAGCATCAGAGGAGATTTGCACTCTCAACTCTTCGAAACTTCGGATTGGGGAAGAAAAGTTTAGAGCCATCCATCAGTCTTGAGTGTTGCATTCTGAATGAAGCCATTTCAAACGAACAAGGTAATATATTTACTGACGTATCTTGACTGAAAATGATGCGACAATTGCATTTGAAATTGAAAGCACGGTGTAATTTACATCAACCACTGTTCCAGGTCGACCATTTAACCCTCGCTTTCTGCTGAACAATGCGGTCTCAAATGTGATCTGTGTCCTTGTGTTTGGTAATCGATTTGAATACAGTGACCATGGCTTCCAGTCTCTGTTAAAGAACATCAGTGAAGCTATTTATCTGCAAGGAGGGGTCTTTGCTCAAGTAAACATTTTCTCATTTTACCAAGTTAATTTAGCCTTATTTCACAACTCATCTACTTTTTGTTTTACTTTCTTTAGCTTTATAATATGTTCCCATGCCTCATGCGACGACTGCCAGGGCCGCACAAGAAAATTATTGCTCTGTGGAAAGAAGTTATTGGCTTTGCTCGAGAGAAGGTGAATGTACACAGAGCTGATTGTGATCCATCAAATCCTCGAGACTACATTGACTGCTTTCTTGCTGAGATTGAAAAAGTAAGTGGGGGAGGGGGGCATCAGTAAGTGATCTGGTACAGCTATTGAATTGAAATGCCTCTCATTCATGTTTTTTTAGTTTAAGGATGACACAGCCGCTGGGTTTGATGTGGAGAACTTGTGCATCTGCACTCTAGATCTGTTTGTAGCGGGAACTGAGACCAGCGCTACCACTCTGTACTGGGGTCTTCTCTACATGATAAAATATCCTGAGATACAGGGTGAGAGCTTACTGTGAGTAATGACATTCATATTGACATTAAAAGTAATACTGTACGTACTCACACTCTCTAAATTTGGTACCTTCAGCCAAAGTTCAGGAGGAGATTGATCGTGTTGTGGGAGAGTCACGGCAGCCGTCTTTATCAGACAAGGACAGCATGCCCTACGTCAATGCTGTCCTTCATGAGATACAGAGGATTGGAAATATTATCCCAATAAATGTGGTCCGGGCGACTGTGGAAGATACTCAGATAGGAAAATACTCTATCCCAAAGGTGCATGGGCCTAGTAATGTTTTAAGTGTTGTGACAATGTGAACGTGAGCAGAACCTATTAGTTTAAGCACATTAAGAATAGTGTGTATAGTTTCACTCTTGTTAAGCCTCTTGTGGTTCTGTAGGGCACAATAGTGACCGGCACTTTGACATCAGTGCTGTTTGATGAGTCCGAGTGGGAGACGCCACACTCTTTTAACCCAGGTCACTTCCTGGATGCTGAAGGCAACTTCAGGAGGAGAGATGCCTTTTTACCTTTTTCTCTAGGTACAGGCAAATTCTATTTCCACAAAAGTAATCCAAATATATATACATTGATAGTCCTGTACAAGCCCCCCTTTATAATTACCCATCATCTTCACTGATTTTCAGGAAAGAGAGTGTGTCTTGGGGAGCAATTGGCACGGATGGAGTTGTTCCTGTTTTTCTCCTCTCTGCTGCAGCGCTTCATTTTCTCTTCCCCAGTGGGTGTGGAGCCCAAACTGGATTTTAAATTGGGGGCCACGCACTGTCCCCAGCCATATGAATTGTGTGCAGTGCCACGCTAAAACAAGCAACACGTAATTTCAGTAATTAATAATAAAACAAAATCTGATGTTTAAATAGAACCCAAAATCTGTATCTCTAAACGTTGCTGGGTGCTTACATGATGTCTAATTTAGATCTTACTTGATTGGTTGGATGCAGAGTGGCTAGTTGCTTAGTTATACGAGTTATATGATACAAAAAAAATGTTTACAAATAAATCACCATTGGAAACAAAAAGGATATAGGAATGACAAAAAGTCATAAAGGAAACGAATTTAATCTGAAATCTTTGTTAAATCTAACAAATTAAGTCCCTGGGGGTCCTTTAAATAGTGTTATCAAATTTAAGGTCATTAAGGGTCTTAAAAATTATAAAAAAGATAGTATCCATTTTAAGTGGTCTTAAATTTGGAGACAGAAAAAAAGGAATCATGCCATACTGCGATTATTAAATTTAATTCTGATTGTGAGTAGTAAATAAATAATGAATAATACATAAAGAAGTGTTGGCTATTTCTCTAAAGTGCAGGAATAAGGTTTAGTAACAGAGTGTGCAAGCCAGCTGGTTGTCCATGATCTGGGCTTCCAGAAAAACATTCATGAATATGCAAACTAGCCCCATCTCCACTCACACAGGCTCAGAATACCTGATCCACTCACACAACTTTACTGTAGTAAACGCTGCACAATGGCAAGTGGAAATACTGGTTTAATTGGAAGAGTGAATTATACAGGCCTTGTCTACAAGTCCATGTATCAGAATGGTAATGCGTTTTATACATAACGGTAATTAATATGTTTAGTCTTTTTCTGACTACACTATCAAACGGTTAATAATGTGTTGCTGATGTTACATGAACCACGTTCCTGTTCGCAACTTCAGTCTGCCTTCTTAAAATCTATATCCTTAGAAATGCTTTGAACAAATTAGAACGTCAGTGGACAAAGTCATATTAGTTCATAGTAACATCATTATATACATAATTAACCCGCAATATTGATAAATGTACCTGATTTTTTATATCGACAGCAAAATGTACAAGCCATATATCAAAAATATACCAGAATCGACTCCACTACTTCACAGCATAGTTAATGATATCCTAAAGCCAGCCCCGCACATTGATGTGATGTTACTAAATAGGTGGTGATGTAGAGATCACCAGCGATTTCAAACTGCATTTTTTCACTGAGGTTTTAAGGAGAAAATACTCAGCAATGGTGTTGATTGACTTATGAATTTGCACATAGTTTGACTCAAAGCATATTAAAACACCCTGCTCTGGCCTGGGCGCACACTGGGATGAATGCGTTATGAATGATGATGACAAAACTAGGAAAAGGAAAAAAAGGTTTATTGACTTTTATCAGTGATGAATACGACGTGTAGAAAGATCACATAGGCTACTATACTAGAAAAGCATCGTCTCGTCACTCTACAGTAGTTCCACCAGCACTTGCTGAGAAATCCGGACCGTGAACAGTTTGCGATCATATCATGCTGGAAGGTGTTTAACCTATCCTCACATTTCTCAGAACACAAAAAGTGGAAAAATACTGTACGTGTTAAAAGATTAGGCTGAATCACAAAATTTCACTTCTGAATGATAGCAAATCAAAAAAGCAGGATAGAGCGGCTGAGTGAATGTAGTGTGGACTCTGTGAATGAGGGTCATAACTGAGTCAGACACGCTGTAGTAGGACAGAGTTCCTGCACTGTGATCCACATACACTCCTATCGTAGAGGAGATGGAGTCTAAAGGGAGTTCAGTCAGTCTGTAATTGTGACCGAATGAGCAACCGGATTCAGTGCAGATTAAACACCAGGACAGATTATTACAGCCAAACTCATGGTCACCTCCCCATCCCTTCCTTTTGATGCTCTTATATGACAGTGTTATATCCACAATACCACTCCACTCAACCTCCCAGTAACAGCGTCCAGACACACTCTCTCGACACAACACCTGACACAAATGAGAAAATCTGTCTGGATGATTGGGATGCCGCTGGACCTTCTTTATGTTAGTAACCACTCTGTTCGACTCAGAGAGAATGAGGTATTTATGGGCTGTATCTGAATTCAGAGTGAACCGCTGGTAATCTGTAAACCAAACACATTTCAATCATAAGTCATTAACACAGCAAATAAGCTTTTTTCATGTTTTCATTAATGTAATTTGATTGATTGATGTGCAATAATGAAATCAAGAAAACAATGACAAACAATAAAAAAAACTTTTTTTCATTTGTTATAAATTAAGTAGTGTTATTGGGTTAACCAAAATATTACACTGATTTTACTATATTTTAAAGACTTAGATTGTATTGTCCGTAAAAAAATTAAAACGTGTATAATGTATTTTAGATATTTATTCAGAAAGAATAGTTGTTTATTGTTTTTAATAAAACAACTGTTTTGGCTTTCTCTCCATCCTCTCTTTCTGTGTGTGCGCGTTCAAGTTTATGAAAAAAACTTACATTGTAGGAACTCATTCCTGCTCTTGTATTCAGGGGTGGGAATCACCTCGATGTATCTCACTGCGAAAACCAACAGACAATGTACATCTTCAATGTAAACATATTTCATTTCCATCCTGTTTTATAATGCACTGTGTAGAAGGATTATATTGTTTTTATGATGTTCATTATATTGATGTTATAATGACGAGAGTAAAGGCAAATTTACTCTCCATCAGACATCTTCAATGTAAAAATTAACATTTTTATTCACCTGTATTTTAATGCAATTTGATGTAGGATCACATTACGTTCATTATATTGACATAACTGGGAGTAAATGCATGATTCAATACTTTACCTATTCTACATAACTTTTCTTTCTCTTCTTCAAAAGTATGCTGCAGTTTCTCTTGCAACTGAGAGAGAAAGGTTCTTAAATTATCAAAAGTAAGACGAGAACTGACAGTGACGCTGGACGAGTCAGTAGATCCAAGACGGTCAGAGAGAGACTGGAATCTCTACACAGACACAAACACAAAAAGAAGGAAAATCAGATTTTTGCTTCCTAAAACACAACATTCTGTTTTTCAGATCTCTATTACCTGGAGGAAATGGATGTGATGTTCTGTGTGTGAAAGCTGATCCAGCTCAGCATCTTTCTTCCTCAGATCCTCAATCTCCTGCTCCAATCGCTCCAAGAGTGTTTTAGTTTGACTTTTAAGAATCTTTTCCTGGTCTCTGATCAACTGTGTCACCTCAGAACAGCTTCTCTCAATGGAGCGGATCAGCTCAGTAAAGATGCTCTCACTCTCCTCCATGGCTGCCTGTTCAGAGCGCTGTTAGGATGCACACACACACACACACACACACGCATTAGAACCAGTCCATTCACTCAGCTCTTACTGGTCCCTCACACAGCCTGTTCCCCACAGTGGGCTTCAGGGGGACTGAAAGAGCTCCAGCACTGGTTCCTCACAGTAGACTGACTGGAGGAGAGTCCTAACTGAGTGTGAAACAGCTCTTCCAGCAGTTCTTCGGCTCTTAACTCACCTCATGAGACTCTACAGCCTCTCTCAGCTCCTGAATCTCCTTCTGTTTCTCCTCAATTTCCTGCTGTAATGTTCTCTTGGTCTCTTCCATGTGATTCTGTAGGGGGGGAAATTACAGTAACACTGTCTGACTGTCTGTTGTGGACATATGGGATTTCTTAATTCTAATATGGAAATATGGAATTAAGAATTTAGATTTTTTGGTGTTGGGTGGGGGCATATAATTAAGGAGGAATTAAGTTTACTCTTTGCTCTTGCTTCATACCTGTTTCTCAGCCCTCTCTTCAGCAGGTGATACGGTATCATGGGTTTTGTGTTCATTCGCCATACACAACATGCACACACAGATCTGGTCAGTGCGACAGAACATTTCCAGCAGTCTGTCATGTTGAGGGCAGATCATCTCCTGTAGTCTTTCAATGGCGTCAGTCATTTTATGTCGCTTTCTAGAGTGAAATTCCTCGTGACGTTCAAAATGGGTCTGACAGTAAGATTCCAGACACACCAGACAGGACTTGATGGCTTTGTTTTTGTCTCCAGTACAGACGTCACATCCCACATCTCCATGTTCAGCATAATAGTTATCAAGTTGATCGTTTTGTAGTTTTCTCTTCCTCAGATTCTCCACCACTTCAGCCAGCATGGTGTTTTTACCTAAAACAGGTCTTGTAGTGAAGGTCTGTCTGCACTGAGGGCAGCTGTAGACTCCCTTCTGATCATCCTGATCCCAGCAACCTTTGATACAGTGCATACAGTAACTGTGTCCACAGGGAATGGTCACTGGATTCTTCAGTAGATCCAGACAGACTGAACAATTGAACTGATTCTGAGCCACTGAAATACTGGATTCTGCCATTGTATTGTATGCCCTCGCAGACAGAAAAAAGGCCTACAATAGCCAAAAGACAAATACGTTTCGTTTTACTGATCTAACGAGTATAAGTAGTTTCCTGGCTGGTTCTGTTTAAGCGACATGTGGGATCGTTGATCGAATCTGTTTTGAACAACCGTCTTCTTCTTTTGTTTTCTAGCGGTTGGCAAACTTTAGGAGCATTTCCGCCACCTACTGTGAAGGAGTGTAAAGCCCAGAAGAACAAGAAGAAGAAAAAGACTGGACCACCATAGACATATACACTAGACTTCACCTTAGGGTTCTAAGCATGCGTCAAAACCGCCGCCATCTTGGAACAGGGGTCTTGTCATAGGAAGTAACTAGGTAACGCTGCTATCTCTGCTTTTACTTCGAATTAATTGATGGTGGCGGACTTTTGTGCAGCGTATGATGTTCACGGATGAAATCTGAACTAGAATCTGAACTGAAAAAAAAAAAAAATAAAAAAAAAAAAAATTCTTTCTAATAAATACATGTCTGACCGTTGGAACAAACCAAAAAAAACAAGAAAAATCGCATTCATGATGATTTATGGTGATTTTATTTGCGTTAGACCTGTGTCTACTACATTGACACAGATGCATTAAAGTGGAGGGGCTCCCCTGTTTCAAGATGGCGGCTCTATTGACGTATTCGTTCCAATGAACTGCCGTAGCCAAGGTGAGTCTAGTGTATATATATCTATGCTGGACCGCAAGGTGAGAAAAAAGAAAAAAAAAGAAAACTTATCTCGTTATAACGAGATAAGTTTTCTGAAGTTTGCCAACCGCTAGAAAACAAAAGAAGAAGACGGTTGTTCAAAACAGATTCGATCAACGATCCCACATGTCGCTTAAAACGACATAGTATCTCGTTAAAACGACATAATAAGTCGTTATTTCGACATAAATATCTCGTTATTTCGACATGACAAGGGGCGGATTCTATATGGTTAAGCTATATTTAGCGTTCTTATAATGACTTTATATGGGAGGAAAATGCTTAACGTCAAATGAAACGCTTGGCGTTCAAATTCTAGACTTATCTGGTTTTTGCTATACTTTATTGTGAGTTTAGAATCATATTAATTAAGAAATGCACGCACAATTAGGCCTATCTATCCGTTAGCTTGATGAATGTTGCAGATATGTTTTAGGCTTGCCTATACTATCCACAAATAAATTGCTTTCCATTATGTGTGCAAAATTCAGAATTCAACGAATGCACTGCAACAACAAAAATAGTTAAATTGATATTATTATTATTATTATTAATAATAATCACAATTATTTTTAATAATTTGTATTATGTAGGCTATTATTATTATTATTATTATTAAATATTTCATAATAATGAACGCTTTGCGTTAATATTCTGGACTTATCTGCTTTTTTTGTAGTAGGCTCAACTTTATTATTATTTTAGTAGGCTGTATGGATTAGGAAATGCACACTCAATTATCCTTGAAATTGATAAATGTTGCAGATATATTTTAGGCTATCCACAAACAAATTGCTTTCAAATGCATGTGCAAAATTCAGAATTCAACGAATGTGCAGCAATTTGTACAAATAGAGAGGTTTGTGCATGAAAGACATTTTTGTTTTATTTTGCATTTGCGCCTCCATTTATTGACGTCTGAGTCGATCTCGTTTGAGTATATTCGGCATTTTGCTTAACGAGGAATTACACGCGTTGATATTCTGAGCTTATCTGATTTGTCTACATATACTTTATTCGTATGATTATTTACTGTGTTTGGTCTTTTCGTACATTTCTTAAGGTTTGTATTCATTTCGATGTGCCACTAGAGGGCAGAATAAGACCGGGAATTAAAGAACGCATATGGTGACCTACTGTTTTCATAATGAATATACTTTTCTAAAACCTTGCATATTAATGGAAATGAACTTATTTGGCAATTACACCTAATTTTGTTGTCAGTATTGCTCTTTCGGCCAGCTTTATAGTTTATCTATTAAATTTTGTTTATTTGTTAACTTTATTGTATAATTATTGGCCAGGGCCGGTGTTCTGACAATTCATGCTACCCATCGAGATTTCCTACTTACCGGTTATGCGCATGTGCAGACTCACAGTTTTTTTTTTTTTTTTTTTTTTTTTTTTTTTTTTTACAAAAGGTACATTTTCCTGTTATAATGTATAATTTCCCTTTAAAAAATGCTTACTACCATATGAATATTTGTACGGTCAGCCAGCTGAAAAGGAATAACTGAAAGTTTCAGTTAGGCTACTATAAGAAAAGGTGTAGTTAAGTTACAAGTCAAAGATGAATATTTTATGATAATTTTTACTTTTCACACCGTTTTAAAAATAAAAACAGTAGTCTACAGTAGGCTATACAGTAGCTACTCATAACTTAGAATTGTATGTATATAGAATTGTAATTCGCGCTACGGTAGCATTTTTCGACAAGGCAGCAAAAATCGACAGAACACCGGGTTTTCCGATAACGATGTATCTTAAGCTCTTAAGAGCGCTCTCTACGTGCAAGGTTACGAACACAGCAATTCCACGTGCATTTCCCAAAAATGCTCTTAAAACGCGCGAGAACGCGTTCTACGTGCCAAGCGTCGCTATCCATTTGCGAAGTGCTGAAATATAACCTTATATGGAGTCGTACGTTTAACCTAATCGTCATTTGTTGTGGATTAGAAATCAAGACAAGTCAAGTGATATAAAACAAAATGGCTGACAAAAAAAAACAAAAAAACAAAACAAGAGAATTCTCAAGATAGGCTACACAGTACCTTTCAAAAAAGATAAAAATTAATGTCCTTCCAGAGGAGATAGAGGGAAACAAAGATTTTATTTTTAACAGATTTAAAGGACACCATACAAATAAGGAAAAACAAAACATAGAAGGACATGTTGCAAACTAACTGCAACCGTGTTCAAAGATCAGGGAAGGAGGTCCGCGAGAAATGCCCAATACATGGCTGGTTTTCGTGCACGTCAGCAAGTCATTGGCAGATTTTTTTGAATTCATCCCTATTTTGCCCAGTCTTTAAAGCATATTTCTCAGATTACTTATTTTATGATTTTTTTTTTGTTCATTCATTTAATTTAGATGTGTATTTCTATTTTTTATTCCCTTTTTAATTAGGCCTATTTAATTTATTCATTTAAACAAAACACGAGTAGCCCACAACAAAGTGTACAATCAAAACCTATACAGTATATTATAGGCTACTTACGTTGCAGTGTAATCTATTGAATAAAAGTGTCCTGCCGGTTGTCCTGCAGGTGACCTCATAACTCTGTCTTCTTACGATGCACTTGGGGATGTACTACTCCAGAGCACTCGTAGTTCGAAGATTTTCAAGTGCTACTTAAGTTACGATGCTTTTGGGAAACAGAACATAATATTAAGATCATTCGTACGATCGTTTTTACGATCAACTTAGGCTTACGATGCTTTTATTTACGATCACTGATAAATGTTCTATTATTTTAAATGCAATATATATATATATCTATCTAGGTTTATTTTTGCACTCAGGTATATCAAAAAAAACGACAGTGGTACCCCTTACGTTTTTTTTTTTTTGGGCGAAAAATTAAGTTTCTCCAATCTTCCCAAAACTCTGGATTCTGATAGAGGGCCATGAGACTTAGACCTGAGTGCAAAAATGGAAGATTTCTCAGCTCTGGAAGATTGGAGAAACTTAATTTTTCGCCCCCCCCCCAAAAAAACGTAAGGGGTACCACTGTCGTTTTTTTTTTCGGGCCCAATTTTTGAGTTTCGATATCTCAGCTCTGGAAGGGGCTAGAGCCTCCATTTTTGCACTCAGGTCTAAGTCTCATGGTCCTCTATCAGAATCCAGAGTTTTGGGAAGATTGGAGAAACTTAATTTTTCGCCCAAAAAAAAAACCTAAGGGGTACCACTGTCGTTTTTTTTTTGGGCCCAATTTTTGAGTTTCGATATCTCAGCTCTGGAAGGGGCTAGAGCCTCCATTTTTGCACTCAGGTCTAAGTCTCATGGCCCTCTATCAGAATCCAGAGTTTTGGGAAGATTGGAGAAACTTAATTTTTCGGCCAAAAAAAAAAACGTAAGGGGTACCACAGTCGTTTTTTCTTCGGGCCCAATTTTTGAGTTTCGATGTCTCAGTTCTGGAAGGGTCTAGAGCCTCCATTTTTGCACTCAGGTCTAAGTCTCATGGCCCTCTATCAGAATCCAGAGTTTTGGGAAGATTGGAGAAACTTAATTTTCACCCAAAAAAAAAAACTAAGGGGGTACCACTGTCGTTTTTTTTTCTGGGCCCAATTTTTGAGTTTCGATATCTCAGCTCTGGAAGGGCTAGAGCCTCCATTTTGCACTCAGGTCTAAGTCTCATGGCCCTCTTATCAGAATCCAGAGTTTTGGGAATTGGAGAAACTTAATTTTTTCGCCCCCAAAAAAAAAAACGTAAAGGGTACCACTGTCGTTTTTTTTTTTCGGGCCCAATTTTTGAGTTTCGATATCTCAGCTCTGGAAGGGCTAGAGCCTCCATTTTTGCACTCAAGTCTAAGTCTCATGCCCTCTATCAGAATCCAGAGTTTTGGGAAGATTGGAGAAACTTAATTTTTCGCCCAAAAA